CCGGCCGGCGCCCAGAGAGGAGAGGGAGATGCCGGTCTAATCCCTAACCTGTCGCCCAGCACAGCCAGCGGTTGGACATCCATCTGCAGAGGGCCATAAGAGACCCTGAAGGAATCCCCCTGGGACACAACATGGGAGAGAAAAGCGGACAGCTGTAGACTTGGGCCGGCTCACAGGAGAATTGAATGAAGGAGGGTGAGTGAAGACGGCCCAGGATACAGTAAATTTTAAATGTATAGTGTCTTGGACTGTGGGATGTGAATTTAAACAGCCTATAAAAGAGAGACGGGGGATTCCCAGGGGGACTTAAGAGTGTGGAAGAGGGAATAAAAAAGAAAAAAAAAAGTTAAGTGGCTCTAGAAGAGACAAGGAAAAGGAAGTGTTAATTGACATAGAACAGACCGATACTTGCACCCTAACATATATCCTAAAGTCTCCCTCTGGGTTGGTTAAAGAGAATAGCCTACACAGTAGATATGAAGAATAAAAGCGCTAAAGGAAGCGGGCTTAAAGGGTCCCAGACGGGAACGATTAAAAAATATACGTCCCAGGGGAATGCGACTCCAGAATGGTCCCAAGGTGGAAGTGAAAAAGGGGAAATGGAAACTAGCATGGAAAATATCCCTAGATTATCGTTGGGTCTAAATAGTAGCAGCCAACAAATGACAGAAAACATAGAGAGGAAAGATCCTGAAAACAATTTACAAGTACTGAATAAAAGAGAAATGGCAGAAATGTTTAAAAATCTGCAAAAAGCAAGAGATGACAAGCATACGGCAGGATCTGGGACATTTGTTACTGAGAATGTAAGAAACGGAGGGAAAAGTCAAAAATCATACCCAAAACATTGCAGATTTAGAAAAAAGGACTACTACTATTAGGAACACGCAGAAAAAATTGCTGTATAAGATGGAAGTACAAGAAAACAGGGATAGGAGAAGCAACCTTAGGATACGAGGAATCCCAGAAATCTTTAAAGGGGGAGAACTGCAAGAAATAGCTCGTAAAATTTTAAACTCCATTATGGACAGACCTGAAACAGAGTTAGTCAAATTGGATGGAGTATATAGAACAGGAAAGTTTCACCAAGGAAATGAGAAGGAAAAACCAAGAGATGTGGTTGCTCAGTTGTACAAGTATGGGGATAAGGAAGAGATTTGGAGAAGGATTAAAGGAAGAACAATTATTAAGTATGGAGAAATAAAAACATTCAGATTTTTGCGGATTTATTGCCGGAGACTATGTGGAGAAGGAGATCCTTGAAACCCAAAGGAGGATTGGCAGACTGTTAGAAGGGGGAGGTAAGGAGGAGATAGAGGGGTGTTTGTGTGTGTGTGTTTTTTTTCTCTCTGTCCCCTCTCTACTTCTTCCTCCTTATGGCGTTTCCTTTAGAGATCCGTGTTTTGTTTTGTGTTTCTCCTCAAATGACCGTGAAAATCAAAGTTAATAGAAATAAACAGATAGATGAAGGATAATTGGGGAGGTTGGAAGGAGGGAGAGCTGTTCATGGGAGGAGTTCAGCCCCAAGGTTTAAATCAATGGTGGGTATAGAAACACAAATGATTAGTAGGCAACTTAGTGGCCTAAAAATGGGTTGGGTATCAAAAGGGGGGGTATCGGTGGGGAGTGGGGGGGAATGGTTTTGGGAAATGAGTAGCGGGGTAGTAAGGGGGGGTGGGTATTGGAAGGGGAGTGAAATGGGAAGGGAGTAACAAGGGAGGGTGGGAGGGAATGGGGAGGGGGTATTAAAGTTAACACTCAGCAAAAGGAAGGGAAGTATTAGGGAATTGAGGGTGGAAAAGAGGAAATTGAAGAGAAAAAAAGAGTTACAAGAAGTATGGAAGATCTACGGTTTATAACATATAATGTAAATGGGTTGAATTGTCCTGGGAAAAGATTTAGGCTATTCAAGGAGTTGCAACATAGAGAAGCTTCGGTGGTCTTTTTGCAGGAGACACATCTTGAGATTAAGTCAAATATTAAGCTGAATTCTAGAAAACTACCCAACATGGTTTTACGCAGATTCACCAATTAAGGAGAGCTAAGGGAGTAGCAATAGGGTTTGCAAAAAACATAAGGCTTGAGCTGGAGGAGAGAGAAATAGATCCTGAGGGGAGATTTTTGTTTTTGAGAGATAGATTGCAAGAGATGGAATGTACAATTGCGAATATTTATTGCCCAAATAAGAGACCGGAGTTATATTTGAAAGGTATTTTGAGAAAATTGATGGCCTTCAAAAAAGGGCGCTTGATAGTGGCAGGGGACTTGAATTTCTGTATGGATCCACAAATGGATACGACCTCTTCTGTGCAGCAAGAGGAAGGTAGGTCTCTGAGAACTTTAAAGAAGGTGATGCATGAGTGCCAAACTGGTGGATATTTGGAGAATAATACATGGAAAAGAGAGAGACTATACCTTCTTCTCCAATGCACATGAGATGTACTCTAGATTGGATTATATATTGGTTGACCATCAACTTACTGAGATGGTGGCTAAAGCAAAAATAGAGGCAATGTCTCTCTCAGACCATGCTCCTGTTACATTGAAATTAGGCTGGGGGAGGCCGTTTCACAGGTGGTATAGGATGGAAGTTGAATGAGGCTCTTCTCCTGGATCAGGAGATTGATCAGAAGATTAGGGAAGAGATTGAAAGATTATTTCAGGAGAATAAGACAGGGGAAGTGTCGGTGGCTACAGTATGGGAGTCCCATAAGGCCTACATAAGAGGTATATTGATCGTGTCCGGGGCAAAAAAGAAAAGGGAAAGAAGAGAGAAACTTACTGGGCTGTTAAAAAATATTTGACCTGGAGCAGATACATAAAAATAGAATAACAAAAGAGAGAAGACAGAAGGTAAAAAAAAAAGAAAGAAGAAGAACTAGAGATATTGATGAAAGAGGAGAGGAGCAGAGTTTTTAATAAAGTGGCAAGTGAGAGGTATAGATGGGGAAATAGACCAGGAAAATATTTAATGAGAGCCTTGAGGAAAATGAAAAATAGGAATTATATAGAAAAAATAAGAAACCCCAAGGGAGAAACGATTTATTCTACTAAAGAGATCGCCAAGGTGTTTAAGGAATAGTATAGCAAGCTGTATAATATTAATTCCCAGGATTCAGTAAATAAAGGTGGAAATGCGAGTAGAGAAAAAAGAAGGGTATATCTAAAAAACGCAGGACTATTGAAGTTGCGTGAAGATCAACTGAATTCCCTTGATTTGGAAATTACGCAGGAGGAAATAAAAAATAGCATTAAAAAGTACCATGACGGGGAAAAGCCCAGGCCCAGATGGTTATACTGTGAGGTACTATAAAAAATATAGTGAATTATTAATACCTAAATTGAAGAAATATATGAATGCCCTGGGTGGGGAGATGGAGATGAGGCAAGAATCTTTACAGGCCCATGTGGTGCTTATTCAAAAGGAAGGGAAGGATGCTTCTCAATGTTCTAGCTATAGACCAATGTCACTTTTGAACATAGACACTAAGTTATATGCAAAGGTTTTAGCAAATAGGTTGAAAGATTTAATGTCAGAATAGATCCAGGGGAACCAGGTGGGATTTGTACCAGGGAGGGAGGGAAGAGACAAAGGGTTGAGAACTTTGTTGCTTATCCAGAAAGCTAGGAAGGGGAAAACTCCGGCAGTGGTGCTTTCAATCGATGCTGAAAAGGCATTCGATAGAGTAGATTGGAGCTTCATGATGGACACTCTGGAGTCTCTAGGATTGGGAGTTAGAATGAGAGAGTGGATAGGAAAATTGTATAGAGAGCCCTCCGCGGTTATTTTGGTTAACGGAAAGAAGTCGGAACCCATTGGGATGTCAAATGGAACAAGACAGGGATGCCCACTGCTGCCCCCATTGTTGTATGTATTGTCATTGGAACCTTTACTGGCAACAATTAGGTAAAATATGGACATAAAAGGGATACAGATAGGAGGAATTGAACATAAAGTGGCTGCCTTTGCGGACGACTTGTTGTTCTATGTGGTAAATCCTAGGATAACACTCCCAAATTTAATGAAGAGCTTAAAGGATTATGGGGAGCTATCAAATTTGAAAATCAACCCAACAAAAACTGAGATCTTAAATGTTAATCTTCCAAATAGTGAAAAAGAAAAGATACACAAAAGAATTCCCTTTTATATGGAAAGATAGGCGATAAAATATCTAGGGGTTAAACTCACTGCTTCATATACGAACTTGTTTAAGTTAAATTATATCTCACTTTTAAATGAGATTAAGGAGGAACTAAAGAAATTGGGAGGAGGTAACCCGTCTTGGATAGGGCGCATAAATCTGATAAAAATGGTAATTGTAACTAAAATCCTATATAAATTCCAGATGATCCCAATTAAACTTCCGGAGGGTTTTTTTAAGGTAATTAAAAAGATGTTAACAAGATATATATGGAAAAATAAAAAAACCTAGAATATCTTATGATTCGTGGAGTAGAAATAAAGAGGAGAGGATTAGGAGTACCAGATTTTAAGAGGCATTATAGAGCAGTAGTTCTAGCAAGAATTTATGACTGGACACACAATCCAGAGGGGAAGAGGTGGGTCAAAATTGAAAATGAATTAAGCGGAGTTAACTTGAGTAAGGTCATTTGGGTACCAGCACTGTCAGGGCTCCAGGGTATGACCAGAGGTATGTGAACTGACGCAGGGAAACGCAGGCTTCAGATATGTTATAAACAATAAGACAATTTATTAAAGACTAACAATACAAACATAAACGCAGTGCAATACTAAAACATAACAGTGCAAACGAACCAAACCAAACCACCCACAGATAACAATACATACAATGCAAGGGTCGTCAGGCAGGCCGGGTCAATAACAATCGGGCAGGTAGGAACAGGAGGAGCAGGCAGAGAGTAGTCAGGTCACGAGCCGGGTACAGCAACTAACGGGCAGGTAGGTACAGGGGGTCAGGCAGAGAATGGTCGGGGTCACAAGCCAGGGATCAAACAGGAGAAGTCAGCAGAGGTCCGGATCAGGCAGGGTCAGCAACGAATCAGTCAGACAGGAACAGGAACAGGGATGCAGGTAACAAGATACAGGGGCCCATAGAAAAGCACACACCAAGGCCCAGACTGCAGGTCTGGCCATCCCTTAAATACACCTGCATAATCAGCTTCAGGTGTTTGGCTGGCTGCAGGGTTGAGTCTCTGATTGCTGAGAGCACCCGCTGGCCAGCCCTGGTACTGCAGCCCACAAGGCAGGTGAGTCCCACCATTACTGGCAAGTCCATTTGTCAGGAATGGACTCAGCACTGGTGGTGGGACTCGCCTGCCGTGTGGGCTGCAGTACCAGAGCTGACCAGCGGGTTCTCTCAGCAATGGACTCAGCACTGGTGGTGGGACTCACCTGCCGTGTGAGCTGCAGTACCAGAGCTGACCAGCGGGTGCTCTTAGCAGCCAGAAGCTCACAATCAGCCAAACCTGGGGCTGATTACAGAAAGGTGTATATAAGGCATGACCAGGCCTGTGCTCTGGGCCTTGGTGTATGTTTTCCCATGAGCCTCTGTACCTGTGTTCCTGCTTCGTTGCTGACCCGGCTTGATCCTGATCTCTGTTGACCGTCTCCTGTTCTGACTACTGGCTCATCCCTGACTATTCTTCTGCCTACTCCTATGCTGTTTGACCCCCTGTTGCTGTACCTTGGCTTGTGACCCGTTTACTCTTTGCCTGCTGCTCTGTACTGATCTGCCTCCACCGTTACCGACCCGGCATGTCTGACCACGCTAACTACTCTGCCATCCATCCATCCTGCACGGATCCAGCCGTACCTGCACATACCTCTGACGGATCCCTCTACCACTAGCAGGTGTACTCAGGGGCCACGACCTGGTCTCAGTCCTGCGCCAAGTCCATCTCCACCATCAGGGGCTCTGGTGAAAAGGCAGACTGGGGTTTAGACTCCGCGCCCTGGGGAATCCTGCCCTGAGGACCGCTAGAGGTACCACCAGGCAGTTGTTACAGAACCCTACGGCCGGCCTGACCATTCCACCTCTCCAGCCCTGACTACGCCTGTGTTCCTGCACCTCCTAAGATTAGTGGAAGGTTAGTTTGTTCACTGTGCGTTTATATATATATATATATATATATATATATATATATATATATATATATCTGGGTGGCTAATAATAAACTGTATTATATTGTACCTGAGACCTGCGTTTCCCTGTGTCAGTCCACACCTTTCTGGTCTTTCCTTGATTCCTGACACCATTCCTGACAAGCACAATATAGAAGATTAAAAGATACCACGAGTGTTTACACATTAAATGTTTTAAAGGTTTGGGATAAACTGCACAAGCTTATGAAATGGGATTTTAATTCACAATTAATGTCACTGAGGAACACAGAGTTTTTCCCTCCAGGTAGGGAGCAGAGTACAGGAAAATGGTTTAAAAAGGAGGATATTCAACTGAGGGATATTATGGAAGGGCAGGAATTGAGAACACTTAAGGACTTGAAAAAAAGATAAAAGAGAACTTTTCATTAAGATAGACGAGTGGAGATATCACCAACTGAAACACTTTGTTGGGAGTCTTCCGAAACCTTTGAGATTGAGAAAGGATTGGAATTTGTTTGAGAGGTTGTTGGAATCACATGGAGATGGGAAACGGGGCACGGCAAAAATTTATAAGATTCTCACTGAGTTAGATATACACACAAAGCCAATGTACATAGTAAAATGGAAAAGGGATTTGGGAATAGAGATAGATGAAGACAAACAGAGGAAAATATATAGACTAACACATGAGAACGTAAACATGAGAGAGGTGGAGGTAAACTATAAGTGTTTAACAAGATGGCACATTTCACCAAACATTGAATATAAGATGAGTGAGGAGAATACACCAGAGTGTTGGCGGGGGTGTGGAAAGATAGGTACGTTACATCACATATGGTGGGAGTGCCCAAAGATTCAAGGTTTTTGGGAGACATTGGTTTACTTAATTGGGATAATCTCTGGAATAAAGATAGGATTGGATCCATAGTTGTGTCTATTACACAGTACAGAGCTATCAGTGAACAAATATAAGGATTCGGGTATATGGTACTATCTAAATGTGGCAAAGGGTCCGATACCTAAGTTTTGGCATAGCTTAGAGGTGCCGAGAAAAGAGGATTGGGTGGAAAGAGTGAATCAGATATGTAGGATGGAGAAACTGTATTATATGCAAGAAGACAAGATGGAGTTATATTACAGGAGGTGGGGAAAATGGGAGGATTTTGTGTCCAAGGCGAAATATTTGAAGCAGTAGAGTGGGATATGTGAAAGTACCCCTTACTTAGGAAAAGATGTAATGGAGAAATGCAGAGTGGGTGGTTTTATTTCTGGGGGGGGGTAGGCTTCAGGGTGGGTGGGGGTATTAGATAGGTGGAGGGGGGTAATGGGAATAACGATAGAAAGGGATATAAAACTGATGGTTTTGTATGTTACATGAGAGTAATGATAGAACATGTATTTTATATGGAAAATTAATAAATATTTAAATAAATAAAAAAAAAAACAGGGCTAGGTTTTAAAAAACATATCCCAAGCTTTGGACATCTCACAGAACACTGTTCAATCCATCATCCAATGGAAAGAGAATGGCACAACTGCAAACCTACCAAGACATGGCCATCCGCCTAAACGGACAAGCCAGGCAAGGACAGCATTAATCAGATAAGCAGCAAAAAGGCCCATGGTAACTGTGGAGGAGCTGCAGAGATCCACAGCTTAGGTGGGAGAATCTGTCCACAGGACAACTATTAGCCTTGCACTTCACAAACCTGGCTTTTCTGTTAGAGTGGCAAGAAGAAAGCCACTGCTGAAAGAAAGCCATAAGAAGTCCCGTTTGCAGTTTGGGAAAAGCCATGTGGTGGACACAGCAAACATGTGGAAGAAGGTGCTTTGCTCAGATGAGTCCAGAATTTAACTTTTTGGCCTAAAAGCAAAACACTATGTGTGCTAGAAAAGTAACACTGCACATCACTCTGAACACACCATCCCCACCGTGAAACATGGTGGTGGCAGCATCAAGTTGTGGGGATGCTTTTCTTCAGCAGGGACATGGAGCCAAATACAGGGCAATCTTAGAAGAAAACCTTTTAGAGTCTGCAAAAGACTTGAGCCTATGGCGGAAGTTTACCTTCCAGTGGGACAATGACCCTAAACTTACAGCCAGAGCTACAATGGAATAGTTCAGATCAAAGCATATTCATGTGTCAGAATGGCCCAGTCAAAGTGCAGACCTAAATCAAATTGAGAATCTGTGGCAAGGCTTGAAAATAACTGTTCACAGACGCTCTCCATCCAATCTGACAGAGCTTGAGCTATTTTGCAAAGAAGAATGGGCAAAAATGTCACTCTCTAGATGTGCAAAGCTGGTAGAGACATACCCAAAAAGACTTGCAATTGTAATTGCAGCAAAAGGTGGTTCTACACAGTAATGACCCAAAGGGGCTGAAAACAAATGCACGCCACACTTTTCACATATTTATTTGTAAAAAAATGTTGAAAACCATTTATCATTTTGCCTTCCACTTCACAATTACGTGCCACTTTGTGTTGGTCTATCACATAAAATCCCAGTAAAATACATTAACGTTTTTGGTTGTAACATGACAAATTAAGAAAAATTTCAAGGGGTATGAATACTTTTTCAAGGCACTGTATATGACCCTGTACAAATTATCTAAGATGTTTCCTTGAGTATCTTCTAGTTGCTGGCATAATAGTGGCCATATGGGTAATATTCTTCATATTCTACAGCATCGCAAATGCATTACCAGCTTTTGGAAGTCAGTGTTTTCTTTAATATCCACATAGACTCACTACTCCCTCTCTCCAGTTAGAGCTGCTTAGTATAAATATAGATAGATTTCCAAAACAATATAGAACAGACGTTTCATATTTTCTATTTGCAGCAAGGTTGACAATTGCGAACAAATGGAAACAGACAGCCTCTAATTGCTCTGAAGTAGTGCAAAGGGTACACCTTCAATGTTCCTATGAATACTTTTACTATCTAACCAACATGGAAACACTGACTTCCGATTTCTTCGGAACTCTTGGTTAAAAAAGTATGATCTTAGGACTATAAGTGAAATGAACTTCTGCGCCTACTATACAATATAAATAAACAAACGAATAAATGCTGCTGCTGACAAACTGTGTTCCCACAATATCAACTAAATAAGTAAATTAATTAAAGGTGATGTAACGCTGCTAATGGACAGCAATCAGTACTAATAAACAATACAGGTGAATAAACTGTGCTCATAATCATAATATGAATATATGATCAAAAACATAGACCATAAATATAAATTCATGAATAATGGTGACGATATACTAAAGTGCTTTCAATAAACGAGATCATAAGTTTCCAAATATTACATGATCCAACACCGTGACTGAGATTCCGTGGTGAATGTGAATTTTCATGCTAATAACAGTGCCATTCCATGCTCACAGAACTCACACCTTAACACGCATGTCAAAACTGCATGTTAATAACATGACATCTCCACACATCCAGACCTTGCGATATCTCCTTACTGCATTCCTAGTCCCATATAGTGGATACTTTTAAGATGGTACTATGGAATTTTTGTCTGCTAATGGACCTCTGGTGAAAAATAGATTGATGGTCTATTGTACTCTGATATGACTGCAAGTTACTGGACTTATCAGCAATCTGTGCATGTTTAATTTTAGGAATAAAAAAACACTGAAATGAAAAATGCCAATAGGAACAAAAAAAAACATACTAAGTGCCATAAAAAGTAACAACCCCCCCCCCCCCCCCCCTCAAATAAAAAACTGCAATGTTAGGACGAAAAGAAAAATGTATCAATGACTGTCATGATTATTGCATAAAGTTTGTAGGATTTTTCACATATAAACACACACATATATATGATATATGTATACTATATATTTAGGGATATTGTAGTTATTTAGAGTTGAACTCTATTATTAAAAAATTATAGTGGAGATAAAGTATTACTTATACTATATTGCCAAAAGTATTGGGACACCCCTCCAAATCTGGATTCAGGTGTTCCAATCACCTCCATAGCCACAGGTGTATAAAATAAAGCACCTAGGCATGCAGACTTCTACAAACATTTGTGAAATAATGGGTCACTCTCTGGAGCTCAATGAACTCAAGCGTGTTACCGTGATAGGTTGCCACCTGTGCAATAAGTCCATCCATGAAACTTCCTTGCTACTAATTATTCCACGGTGAACTGTTAGTGGTATTATAACAAAGTGAAAGCAACTGGGAACAAAAGAAACTCGGCCACGTAAAATAACAGAGCACGGTCAGTGCATGCTGAAGAGAGAAGTGTGCAGAAGTCACTCACTGGCTGCAGAGTCAATAGCTAAAGACCTCCAAACTTCGTTTGGCCTTCAGATTAGCACAACAACAGCGCGTAGAGAGTTTCATGGAAGGGGTTTGCATGGCTGAGCAGCTGCATCCAAGCCTTACATCACCAAGTGCAATGCAAAACGTTGAATGCAGTGGTGTAAAGCACGCCGGCACTATACTCTAGAGCAGTGGAGACTAGTTCCCTTGAGTGATAAATCATGCTTCTCTAGTCTGGCTATCCAATGGACATGTCTGGGTTTGGTGGTTGCCAGGAGAACGGTACTTGCCTGACTGCACTGTGCCAAGTGTAGAGTTTGGTGGAGGGGGGATTATGGTGTGGGGTTATTTTTCAGGGGTTGGGCTTGGCCCCTTATTTCCAGTGAAGGGAACTCTTAAGGCCTCAGCATATCAAGATATTTTGGACAACTTCATGCCCCCAACTTTGTGGGAAAAGTTTGGGGATGGCCCCTTCCTGTTCCAACATGACTGCGTACCAATGCACAAAGCAAGGTCCATAAAGACATGGATGAGCGAGTTTGAGGTGGAGGAACTTGACTGGCCTGCACAGAGCTCTGACCTCAACCTGATAGAACACCTTTGGGATGAATTAGAGTGGAGACTGCAAGCCAGGCCTTTTCATCCAACATCAGTGCCTGACCTCCCAAATGTGCTTCTGGAACAATGGTCAAACATTCCCATAGAAACACCTAAACCTTGTGGACAGCCTTCCCAGAAAAGCTGAAGCTGTTATAGCTGCAAAGGGTGGGCCAACACAATATTGAACCCTACGGACTAAGACTGGGATGCCATTAAAGTTCATGTGCGTGTAAAGGTAAGCATGCCAATACTTTTGACAATATAGTGTACCTTAATCTAGTGATTAAGGCAAGTAATACACTAATTAACCTCATCCCCAGGAAAAGGAGCATTAGATATTTTATTATCCAGGGGTAGGGGAATTTCAACTTATTTAAAAAATACAATTTTAAACAGTTTTGAAATTCCCAATGTTGGGCATTTTGTATGTGTTCATGAGAAAGGTAATATTAGTTTATGTGTACAATATTTTCAGTAGGTAAGTAAGTGATCTTAATGGCCAGCAGAGGCATTTGTGGTTTTACACTGCCCCTGGACATACCCGTGGTAATATAAATAAATTAGGACTAGAAGAGAGAAGTTACACCTTTAGAAGCCAAGAGCAGCATGAAAAACGAGAAAGAATGCTTAAGTGAAAAAAATGCTTGTATATAATAAGACGCATTCAGCATGTGTTCACAGTACATTCCCTTAAAAATAAAATACATTTAAGGCAAAAGCAACATTAAATAAAAGTGGACAATGCTATAAATTATCCAATTCAAAATTCCCATTAGCCTTCCAGACCCTTAAAACACAGATATCAGAGCAAAGCCAAATGAGTGAGATGAGCAGGCCCATAAGATTGCTTTGAAAGCAGATATTCACCTGAGGGCAGTGCTCTTCAATACAATTGTAAAGATTTTGTTGATAGGTAACAAACTGCAAGGCAATCAAAGAGCAACCATATCTGTCTTTATATATCACTGCCATGCCCTTGGTCGCTGATTTGTGCGAAGTGATGGATGGCATTGGGTCTGTATCGTGAGTGTCAGGAGCTGAAGAGACAGTGTTTATGTGGTTACTACTGTACATAAATCCAACTCAGACAGTTTACTCAGACATGAAGTAGCCTGTGCGGCTTGCGGGAGGTGGATCTTGGAGCGAATAGTCTCAAACAGCTGCAGTTCTAAAAAAGAATTCTGGAATTCTGAAATACGCAAAAGTAAGGCCTTGATTCATCAATCTACAATATCACATTATACTAAAAGTAGCATATGGAATAATATCAATTGTGAGAACATTGCTTGATTAATCAAAAAATAAAAAACATTTCAGGAATGATTACATGTGGAATTCCTCCTGTTTGATGTTAAAGGAAATGTTTATTATGAGAATCAAAAAGGCTGCCTTTGCTGTCTTCTAATTCTAAAAATGCTAGTTGTTTGGCCGATATGCTGATGTTCTATAGTATTAATATTTGTTGCTGACTCGGAGTTAGTGTACAGATAATGGCTTCTGACTTTAACTCTGATGTTTCTGATCTGCATATTCCACATAACAGCCAAGCACCTGGTATTTGTTGACAATGGCAGCCCTCATATTCCTCTTGTGAAATTGGCACTATTTCCCAAAACTTAATAAAGCAAAATATGTGTTTAGTCAATACCTTTTCACTATTGGCTACTAATGCTTTAAAGAAATCCTTGCCTTTGCCAAAGTTTAAAGAAACTGCCCTCATATTTAAACTATTCCACTTATTAAAAAAAATTACTAGTGCATAATCAAAAACTACTAAAATCTGTCTCCATAGACCCAGATATACTCCCACTGAAAGCCCCCATCACAGTCTACATGTCAAACTAGGGGTTGTTTTTTGCCATCCAAGGAATGCTCATAAAGGGATGCTGAAGGCACCACAAAACAGTGTCAGGTTCTTTAGGTAAGCTTAATCTGTAGGCTATTCCTGCTGAACATAGTGCTATGAAAGGCCATTCATTGCTAGATGAGGAAAAAGGGCAATTGGTCCCTCTAGGGCAGCGGTTCTCAACCTGGGGGTCGCGACCCCTTTGGGGGTCGAACGACGCTTCCAAAGGGGTCGCCTAAGACCATCGGAAACACACATATTTCCGATGGTCTTAGGAACCGAGACACCGCTCCTCGCCGCCGCCGCCCGCCGTCTCCAGGTGTGGGCGGGATGACATGCCGCCCCTGTCATCTGGACAGACCTCGAGATCAATCCTCGCCTGTGATTGGCCGCCGGCACTGTAGCTCAGGAGAGGCACACAGGCGGCCAATCACCGGCAAGGAGGTGGAGCTTGGAGAGGAGGAGCCGAGCGGCACCGCGAAGATCGAGCGAGTGAAGAGGAGGAGAGCGGCCGGAGAAGGAAGACATCTGACAGGAAGTGTCGGTACCATGGGAGAGGGAGGGAGCGAGCGAGCCCAGGCTGGAGCAGGGGTCTGCAAGGTAAGTATCATTGGTGTCAGTGGGAATAGTGCCCCATCATTGGTGTCACTAATACCAATGATGGGGCACTATTCCTCCCACTGACACCAACGATGGGACACTATTCCTCCCACTGACACCAACGATGGGGCACTATTCCTCCCCCCACTGACACCAACGATGAGGCACAATTCCTCCCCCAAATGACACCAACGATGGGGCACTATTCCTCCCCCACTGACACCAAGGATGGGGCACGATTCCTCCCCCACTGACACCAACGATGGGGCACAATTCCTCCCCCCACTGACACCAAGGATGGGGCACTATTCCTCCCCCCACTGACACCAAGGATGGGGCACTATTCCTCCCCCCACTGACACCAAGGATGGGGCACTATTCCTCCCCCCACTGACACCAAGGATGGGGCACTATTCCTCCCCCCACTGACACCAAGGATAGGGCACTATTCCTCCCCCCACTGACACCAAGGATGGGGCACTATTCCTCCCCCCACTGACACCAAGGATGGGGCACTATTCCTCCCCCCACTGACACCTATGATGGGGCACTATTCCCCCCACTGACACCTATGATGGGGCACTATTCCCCCCATTGACACCAATGATGGGGCACTATTCCCCCCACTGACACCTATGATGGGGCACTATTCCTCCCCCCACTGACACCAATGATGGGGCACTATTCCTCCTCCCACTGACACCAATGATGGGGCACTATTCCTCCCACTGACAGCAATGATGGGGCACTATTCCTCCCACTGATACCAATGATGGGGCACTATTCCTCCCACTGACACCGATGATGGGGCACTATTCCTCCCACTGACACCGATGATGGGGCACTATTCCTCCCACTGACACCGATGACGGGGCACTATTCCTCCCACTGACACCGATGACGGGGCACTATTCCTCCCACTGATACCAATGATGGGGACACTATTCCTCCCACTGATACCAATGATGGGGCACTATTCCCCCCCCACTGACACCAATGATGGGGCACTATTCCTCCCACTGATACCAATGATGGGGCACTATTCCTCCCACTGACACCAATGATGGGACACTATTCCTCACACTGACACCAATGACGGGGCACTATTCCTACCACTGATACCAATGACGGGGCACTATTCCTCCCACTGATACCAATGACGGGGCACTATTCCTCCCACTGACACCAATGACGGGGCACTATTCCTCCCACTGATACCAATGATGGGGCACTATTCCTCCCACTGACACCAATGATGGGACACTATTCCTCCCACTGACACCAATGACGGGGCACTATTCCTACCACTGATACCAATGACGGGGCACTATTCCTCCCACTGATACCAATGACGGGGCACTATTCCTCCCACTGACACCAATGACGGGGCACTATTCCTCCCACTGACACCAATGACAGGGCACTATTCCTCCCACTGACACCAATGACGGGGCACTATTCCTCCCACTGACACCAATGACGGGGCACTATTCCTCCCACTGACACCAATGAAGGGGGCACTATTCCTCCCACTGACACCAATGACGGGGCACTATTCTTCCCACTGATACCAATGATGGGGCACTATTCCTCCCAATGACCAATGACGTGGCACTATTCCTCCTACTGCAAAATTACAGTTATGAAGTAGCAACGAAAATAATTTTATGGTTGGGGGTCACCACAACATGAGGAACTGTATTAAGGGGTCGCGGCGCTAGAAAGGTTGAGAACCACTGCTCTAGGGTCTCCCAAGCAAAGCCTGGGTAAATTTGAATTCAGTCACCATTGAAATCGATGGGGGATGATTCAGGTATTTTGGTTTGGGTCTCTTTTTATCCTTGAAATACTACAGTCTGCAAATTACATTTGGCATTATCTCTTTAGGTTTACTGCTATTCTGGTGCCAGCTATATTTATTCTTTCATACTGCAGGATCTAAAGGCTTTGTAGGGTCTGTCACAGATGACAGGAGAAGTAGCAGCCAAGGAGATATTATCACTTATTCATCACACTCTTAACAAGTCTTTATCTGCCACTATGGCCCTCGACAAGACCAAAATGAAGCCGATTAGAGAGACATTAGAAAAGTCTTAGCCCTATTACCATGGCAAACACTTTGCACACTAAATGTTTGGTTATTTTTTGGGTTATTGCTTGGTTGTGCATTTTTCTTCTTTAAAGATACTTATTATACAAGTTGTGAACTGTTGGGATACTGTTGTAACTTTTTCTGACTGTCTTGATGTCCCAGATTTATGGGGTACAGGGTCACTGGATCCTTCCATTCCATGTGGAAGTGCAGTGTCCATGGGCAACAGATGCTGTTTATATCACCCCAGTTGCTATTGGACACTGCAGGAGCCTAATTTTTAACCACTAGACTCTATAACTGATTGATAGGAGATGCTTGATACTCAAAAGTTAAAATATGAGACTTTACTTTCACATTGGCAAATATCTACAGCTCCAACCAAGCACAAGTACCCTTTCTTAAACAACTTAACTTTAAGACCAGCTGACTTTAAGAAACGTATCCCAATTATAAACAAGGGATTTTATTCTAACTTTTAAACTCTCCCTGTACTCCTCCTAAGGTCACTCCTCAATAGTGCACAGACACCTTCATTCCTAAACCAAAACATCTACACAAGATGCAATTTGTCATGTGGCGAATCCTTTATCCTGTGAGGGCTATACTCTCTTCTGCCACACACAAGTCATAATCCAGGACTGATTAGATCTCCGTAAATCACTACCACCTGAAATTCCTAAGAAATAAATTCCACAAACCACTATCTCTAATCATGCCCCATGATACCCTCCCTAAACAAGAAAAAAACATAATTATCTAATGAGGGAAAACATAAACAAATTAAAAAGGTCCTTACATCCCCAAAGTGCACCTAGATGCACAAGAAGGTCCAATCACTGCAGAGGAAATACAAACCGCTATCTCCATCATGTCCCCTGTTAAAAGTATCCTAAGCTCTAGTAACAAATTCTAACCCCTCATTTATGCACATATGCAAACTCCTTATCCAATGACAACTTCCCTAGGACAACCTTCCATGCCAACATAACAACACTTCAAAACCTGCCAAAGATCTTTAAGGCTTTGGGAGCAATATACCTATATCACTCTTTAATGTAGATATTAATTATACTCACTACAAGGAGAACAGACCTAATAAATAATAGTGTGTAATCTCAATTGTGTCCACAATTCCCCTCCTTCACCCCCCAGCATTCTCTTTCCCTCTTCTAAGCGCATTCAGTTCTCTGAACCTACCATCTAACACCTTGAGATTCTTGTCTATTTCTGTTTATAAAAATGGCAAGATGTTACTTGCCCATTTTAACAAATCAGATACATAGCTTTACTAAGTTATGAATATGTAACACAACATTTTAAAGTTACTGGCCCTGCAACTGCCTTAAAACATTTCCATAAAAATTGACTGCATTAAAAAATATATATATTAAAAAAAAAAAAAGTTTTGCGTTTGTTCTTTTCATCCATGTATTTCCATTGATGTAATGAACAAGATTTATTGTTGTAAATTTAATTAAAGGATAAAAGAGTTTTTCAACTGTCTGAACAAACATTCTACATATTGTTTATACAACGTGCAATTTAGTTTTCTTTTTAGATCACCACCACTAATGCTACTTTAGAGAACAAGGTCAACAAAATTATCTGTAATGTAAAAACTAATGGTGGCACAATGTTAATACAGACAGTCAGTGTTAAAATATACTGTCAGTGCCGGATAAGGCAAGCACTTCTTCTTTGCTTTTGAAGTACTGCTAAGAGGAGCTCTTTTCAACAAATCATCCAACAAAGCCTTTCAACAATGCTCAAACAGGAATCAAACAAGCACAGAGGTGTTATTAAATAATGAAGCAGCAAGGCCACACAAACTGTTGCTTGTGCTGCATAGAAACAGGTGGAGGTATGGAGTGTATGTTCCATACTGGGTCATGGTGGGTGAAAAGGAAGCAAAAGCTTTATTTATAACCACTCTAAACAGTTATTAGGCATATTCAATGAGGCAGTTTAAAGATCAATATTAATGTGCAAATGTCAAAAATCTGGAACCATTTAGATCCCAGCTTTCTACAATAAGGTCAATGAGATCATTTCTAACTCAATGTTCTATGTAACTGCACCTATTGGTTTTATTGTCCACTTTATGACTTGGGGCTGAATAGACTAGACTTACAGCATTACTAAATTTCAGTAAATTGTTTTCTAATTTGGCAATATCTGTGTCATTACCTATGATACAAAAGTGATACAAATATGGTCTTTTTAGTTTTTGTTTTTTTTTTTTTTTTTTTTTAAACAGGAGGAGCAAGGTTTTGTATTGGCAGTATTGCTTTTCAATAATTATTTTGTTTCATATATATTTTACTGGAAAAAGAAGTAAAACATATAGAAAAATATTATTTTTGCTTATAGCATGTATAGCACCATGTAAATTGTCAGTGTTATATATAAATACCTGTAATAAATCGATAAATATATTTCTTTACATATATATGTTATTTATATTATGGTTCTGATGTGATAGTTATTTAAAAAAAAAAAAAAAAAAACAAAGCTATTATTACTTTACATACAAAGAACATATATTATTATGCTACGTGTGCAAGTATTTCAACAGTAAAATATATTGCTGGAAAGTTATATAAATTATATAAAAGCATTTCTGAAAATCTTATGTCCTTGTCTGTGAGCTCCTGTCCATATGCAATACCACACATACACTATTTCCTCTTAACTAACATATACATTGGTAATGAAAAATATATATCAAATATTCTGATTGTTTTAAATACACTCATTTTAGTTTGCCTTGTTTACAATCTCCATTACCATTTTTGTTTTGTTGTGCACAAAATAAAGTTATTTGGTAATACTGCCATGTGATCTGTATTGATAGATACACTTAGATAAATAGATTAGTTAAACTGCAGCCAATGGGCCACTGCTTAAATAGTAATCCCACTTTTTTAGTTGAGAAAAAAAAACAATCCACTCTGGGTGATCTATGTGCAATGCAATGATTTTAACAAACTTTGTTGCAGTTCTACATAGTTACATAGTTAGTCTGGCTGAAAAAAAACAAAAGTTTTAGTTCAACCATAAAAAGAAAAAAAAATATTATCCTATACCCACAGTTGATCCAGAGGAAGGCAAAAAACCCAGCAAAGCATGATCCAATTTGCTCCTGCGAGGGGAAAAATTCCTTCCTGATCCCCCGAGATGCAATCGGATATTCTCTGGATCAACTTTACCTAGAAATGTTAGTATTCAGTTATATTCTGTGTATCCAAGAAAGAATCCAGACCTTTTTTAAAGCAATCCACTGAGCTAGCCAGAACCAACTCTTGAGGGAGTCTATTCCACATTTTCACAGCTCTCACTGTGAAGAAACCTTTCCATATTTGGAGATTAAATTTCTTTTCCTCCAGATGTAAAGAGTGCCCCTTTGTCCTCTGTGATGACCTCAGGGTGAATAACTCTACACCAAGTTCACTATATGAACCACTGATGTATTTATACATGTTGATCATATCCCCCCTTAATCTCCTCTTCTCAAGAGAGAATTCAGTTCCTCTAATCTTTCCTCATAGCTGAGCTCCTCCATGCCTCTTATCAGTTTGGTTGCCCTTCTCTATACTTTCTCCAGTTCCCCAATGTTCTTTTTGTGAATTGTTGCCCAAAACTGAACTGCATATTCCAGATGAGGTGTTACTAATGATTTGTACAGGGGTAATATGATCTCTCTCTCTCTCTGGAGTCTATACCTCTTTTAATACAAGAGAGGATTTTGCTCGCTGTAGAAACCGCAGCTTGGCATTAAATGCCATTATTAAGCTTGTGATCTACCAGAACTCCCAGATCCTTCTCCACCATTGATTCCCCCAGTTGTACTCCCCTACCTTTTGCTATTCTAAAAAAGTAGCTCTTCGTTTTTCTGTGTCCATGTGCCAGAGCTCCCTGTGACCGGCATAGCTATGGGAAGTCTGCATTGCACTGGCCC